TATATATATATAAATATATATATATATATATATATATATATATATATATATATGATGTCATTTGTGTAATTAGTTCTGCTCATGTTCATCTTTTGGCTCTCTGGTTAATTTGCACTTTGTTTACCAGACAAGTATGCCATCCGTTTCATCCCACGAGAAAACGGCATCCACGTCATTGACGTGAAGTTCAACGGGACGCACATCCCAGGCAGTCCGTTCCAGGTTCGTGTGGGAGAGCCGGGACAGAGCGGCGATGCGGGCCTCGTCACTGCTTACGGACCCGGGCTGGAAAGAGGAACCACAGGTGAGCTTTTGACATTCACTGGACACACATGACTCACTGGCACAGGGCTAAAAACAATTCTGCAAAAATAAGAGCCTACGCGCGTGTTTCCCGTGTGCCGTCAATCTGTGTTTTCCACACTCTGAATATTGATTGCTCGATGTTTCTTTTGACTTGGGGTGTGGAGAGGAAGTCAGGCCGTTCCGCGCTCTCGCTCACGCTGAACGCACTTACTGTTTCAGCACAAATGATTTAAACAGAAGGATCTTGGATTACCTGAGCTCTTTCTCATGGATCACATCCAGAACAAATGTATGTCTTCATCGTAACTTGTCTAGTTGAAGAAAAAGTGTAAAGCTCACGGAGACATTTAACTCGCAGCATTAATATGGTACCTTGAAATGTATTTCAGCTGCATAAAACTAAAGAAAAAAGCCACATGGTTGACTTGGAGGAAAGAATAAATGAGGTTTTATGATGGAAAGTGCTTTCAGCACACACACTGCATACTATAGAAAGAAAGTAGAAAAGGATGGTAGAATGCTATTCTCAACAGCCGTTGTCACGACGATGCCAACATTGATGGCTGACAGGAAACAGGAAGTGAGAATATTGTTGTTGTCATAAAACAGTTTATCATACGTGCAAATACACCATCCTACATTCTCACACTCGCGTCATATTGACTCTCACGTCTCGTCTGACAGGTAACCAGGCCGAGTTTATCATCAATAACACCAAAGCGGGGCCGGGATCTCTGGCCGTCACCATCGAGGGCCCGTCGAAGGTCAAGATGGAGTGTCAGGAGTGTCCCGAAGGCTTTAGAGCGCACTACACACCAATGGCCCCAGGAAACTACGTCATCACTATCAAATATGGCGGCCCCAACCACATCAGCGGAAGCCCATTTAAGGCCAAAGTCACAGGTAAGCCCGAGCCGGACTGATCTGAACCGAGGTGATGGTGGTGTTGGGTGATGATGGACTGAGATTGGCTTGTCTGGTCTTCAGGGCCACGGCTGGTGAACGTGACGAACGCCAGTGAGATGTCCACTCTGATGGTGGATCCGGTGAGCAGGGCGAGCAGTGTGAACTCCTACAGCGCCTCTCCCAGAGCCGCTTCTGACGCCAGCAAGGTTCTCAGTCGAGGTCCGGGTCTCAGTAAGGCCTTCGTGGGCCAGAAAGCGTCTTTCTCTGTGGACTGCAGTAAAGCAGGTGAGATCTCAGGTTATTCAGAACAACTTGAGCATGAGTGAGATGAACTGTAAAAGTTAATTCAATGATGAAAGTTTATTACTAGGAACAAATGCATACGCATTCAACAAAAAGCTGATGCACTTTATACACGCTCTTAAGCTCCTGGGGACCCACTGTCCTGCAGTGTTTAGCTCCGACCCCAATCAAACACACCTGAAGCACCTAATCAAGTGTATGCATATACTTCTATATATATTATATCCTTTTATTAAATACCGTACAGAGGATACACCGTTTGGAAAATGGATACATGAATGGGTCATTTTATTAAATTGCACTATATAATACATTGATTATTATTATTATTAATAATAATAATCATAATAATAATAATACAATGTTTTATTATTATTTTTAAATTTATATAAAACATTTATTTCACTGATTCTACAGATAAGGGACAAAACATGTTTTAAAATGTGAGTTTTTATTATTTAATGACACATTGGTTATAAACTGATATATTTGTAGTGAGGTCTCAGCTAATGAACCAAGGACACAGGTTTTTCTGAAAATGTTGTTTGGGAAAAATCTACATTTATTTACTTCATAACTTAATTTGTGTCAACGCATTAAAAAGCATGATATTTTAATTTGATCCACTAAATAACAGTGTGAAGTCTTCAGTTATGTAATAATGGTGTTCAGGAATATAGCTGAAGTGATTAAATACATTTTCTACATTTTTCTTCTTCCAGTTTTCACTTTAATATGAACAATCCAATTCCTGAATTTCTTAATTTTCCACCATCCTTTTTCATATTAAACATATACAACCTAGGTTCTTTGAGAACATACAAATAGTATCATGTAGTTCAGTTCATGTTTTACTATTTTAAAACAATGAATTGAAAAAAGAATAAAATCTTTATTTCAAAATGAACAGAAACCTTCATCTGAAAGTGTTCAAAACTGACGAAGTTGACAAAGGTCCAACTGACGTTACAACAACTGATTGACAAGACAACAAATTAAAACAACCAGCTCATTTTTAAGCTGATATTTAACTGAATACAATAATCCTTCTAGAGGAGTCTCCAGTAACTCACAAAATACAAGAAGCTTATGTTCGGTTCAGTGTAATGGTCAGCATTATTATGTGCTGCCCTGTAGTAATATGAATCCAAAGCATCTGTAGGCTGTCTTAAACCTCATCAGTTATGAAACTGTATTTGTGCCTGAACGGGCATGTTCACTCTCTATGAAGTCCATTACATCAGGATTTACCGTTGCTGTGATCTCATGTGAGTGACGGATTGTAACATAAATACATAACTAAGGCATGTAAATCAGGCCAAATATGTATGTAAATAAAATTATGAAACAACATTAGAATTATTCCCCATATGCAAAACTATTTTTCTTATTGTTTTATATTATTTATAATATCAATATATTTAAACATGTTATTTACTGTACTATTAATTTAATACATTTAATATAACATTTATTTGATCATTATTCTAATTATTTTAAAACCCAACTCAAAACATAATATACGATCATAAAAATTATTGATTGATTGATTAACACACTATCGTGGCAATCTTGCCAGAACTGCATTTTATACAGGGCATAATTGAGTTTTACCGTTTGTTGTCTACTGTATCCATGTATTTGTGTTTGTTTCCAGGGAAGAACATGCTTCTGGTCGGCGTTCACGGTCCTCTGACGCCCTGCGAGGAGATCCTGGTCAAACACACGGGAAACATGCAGTACAACATCAGCTACGTCTTAAAGGAGAGGGGCAACTACATTCTGGCTGTGAAATGGGGAGATGAACACATCCCAGGCTCCCCATTCCAAGTCACCGTCCCATAATTCCCTGCGGTTAATCAGAAACACTCCTGACAGAGAGAAAGACACTGTACAAAAACAACTAGAAGATCTTCTTCATTCTGCTGAACTTTGCACTTGATCAGGTTTTTGACTGGAATGTGATGCATTATGACGGAAACGTTGATGGCATTTTGTTATGATGCATGAATTGTACATTACTTCTATTTCTCGAATTTAGTTCAGCATTGCACGTCTAAAGATGAGTGTTGAAAAGTTAAAAGACGGTGTATGAACAAACTGATCAGGGTTTCACACCCAAACGTCTCTGTACTACTGATATTGACTCGAATCGCTCGTCTCTTTCTAACAATACTGACACTTTTAATGCACATATAACCTTTCCATGTCTGTGTTTGATTCTCGCACATATTGAATAGTTTACATAAAAATTACTATACATCAAGATTTTAGACTCGCAAATCAACCCTCAAGACCAAAATATCGGATTTTCTGGCTTTTTGAAGACGCTAATACACAAAAGTCACAGTAATAGATTTATGCAGGGCTTTCACATTCTTTGTCTTAATTCTACTAGTTTTGATAGTCCAGTGGTGAAGTATTTTGTAAGTGTTTTAAGGGCAAGAGGGGACATTTAATTGCATTTTGTATTTAGCCGTTGGTGCCTTATTGTGAAACACGTGAGTAGATTCGATGTACATTTGCTTATTAAAACTGACTGGAATAAAGAATTCAAGAATATAGAAGCTACAACTGTAGTTCTAAAATAAATATAAATATGCATTAATTCATCTCACTCACTCACACACACACAAAAAACACAGATTCAGTATTCCTCAAAATGAATAAAAATAATGCAACTCAGAATATGACGCAAACTTGCAATAATTAAATGTTAAACAACACAAATATGCTTTATGTATTTAATCCCATTCTATTAACCAATGTCTTTGCTTCTGAGCTTCGATGATTCAGTTCAACCGTACTAATAAACACAAATTACTCTAGACAAACATTTGTGTGTCTTTGTTTATTGCTGAAGTGTGTTGAAATGTCTTCTTCTGCATTCTACTGTACGGACGTAAATTTACTTTCCCTTCAGCCTGAGGCTTATTCATTTCACTTTTGGTGTGAAAGGCTTTTATATTTGCCAAAAATATAACTTTTTTTATTTTAAAAACAAACAAGCAAGCCCTGTCCAGATTATAAAAGTAACGCAAAATTAACGTAACGCATTACTTTCCATAAAAAGTAACTAAGTACCGTAATTAGTTACTTTTTTATGGAGTAACGCAATATTGTAATGCATTACTTTTAAAAGTAACTTGACCCCAACACTGTTTAAAAGTAACAACAATGTTTCCAAAATGATCAAATGGAATGTTCCTTTAACATTCGATAACCGCGAAAAATCCATTTAAAACATTTTAAAAACTGGACGTTTGGAATGTTCAGATAACATTAAGAAATAACATTTCTATTTCTAATCGAAACATATTTTTGTGAGTTGGGAATCTGGATAGAGAACCGCTTCGCTTACGTCTGACGGCCACAGCTGTGAAACATTCTGATAAACGTCGAAGAGTTCATCGATTTCTTTCACAGCCGCTTCTGGAGCCGTGTGAATGGGAATGATGACCAAATCCGTGACTTCTGTTGTGAGACAGACGAACACATGTTTAGCATCATTTCATAAGAGGGTCACCTTTCACACTGTAAATGTCTCACCCGTTTTTGGAGACGAAAACCACACGACGAACGGTTCTCGAGCAAAAGCGTCCTCATCTCCGGTTTGAGCATCTGGATACTGATAGACGGATTTCACAGACAACATCTTCTGCCTGATATGATCAGAAATGAATTATTATTTAAACCTGATTTCTTTTTACTCTTGGTAGATGCATATGGAAGCCCGTTTCCACCACAGAACAACAACAAAAAAGGTTTTAATAAAGCTTTTCTCTCACAGTTCAAACTTTTTTTCTTGCAATTTTGAGAGTGAGGAAGAATGCCCACAAGGGCGTAGAATTAGTAGAGACGCTATGACATCCCTGCTGAAAAAAACCAATAGAAACCATCGCAGAATTTGTAATGGTTTTACTGGTTATGATGGGAATTGTAACGGTCCCTGTGGGTCTCTACTGGTCATTTGTAGCTTTCTATTGGTGGCTTGTTTAAACCTCTAAATCCCAATGGCCCAAAACACACTACAGAAAACCATTTCTTAATGGTTGATAGTTGATGGTTTGTAATGGTACTTGTAGTGGAAACCATTAGAATTTCTGTGATGGTTTCTATAGTTTAGTTTTTTCTCAGCAGGGCTGTCCCTACCAATATCTAGCAACTACTAAATTGTCCCTAGCAATAATTTTAAACAAACAATTAAATGTCTGCTGTTATGTTTTTCCACCAATGCCAAAATCAAACCTACGCCCTTAGTAAACCAACATACAATTTGTGTTTTCAGTGGCAATCAAACACCCCCCCCCCTTCTTTTTCCTCTGGAAATTCTAGATAAAATCCATCCTAAATATAAAGAAACCATCAATCCACGTGCATTTTGCATCTAAATAAACATATGAACCTGTTTTTGCATGCTGATATAACATTAATAATGATTTCATATTTGTTGATAAATTACACATACCTGTAAATGAAGGCATATTGCTCCTTGTATGACTTTCTCCCGAGTCTCTCACTAATGACAGAGCTAAATTCATTTGCTCGTGTCCTGGACCTGCTGCGGAGACATTTTGCAAAGGTTTAGTATTTTGTTTGTCATTTTACTGTGTTCATTAAGACTTTATTAGACATTTTATGTTGGTTATCTATCTCATGTTATAAGAAATGTCCTAATCTCTGTTGTATTTGAGCAGAGGTGTGCATTTACCTGTTCAGGTGAGTCATGAGTTGATCAAACGCTTTTCCTTTTGCATCTTTGATCTCCAGGACAAGCATGAGGTCACAGCGACTGATGCTCTGCAGTGTGACAATGTGAATTAATTCATTTCATCACTGTTTGTTTATGCCTTGAAAATCACATCACAATGTAAGTATCCTCGTCCAGTCTCCAGAATCTGAACATTTGGTACATTGAGAGGAGAATTCAGACCTTGGCAGATCGGAGCAATCGGGACAATGAGACGACAAAGCGTCTTGTTCCTCTGTGTTCTCCTGCTTTGACACGCTACAGTAGATAGTAAAACAACGCAGCTGCTGAACTCACTAGAGTTATAATAACATGCAATGATGTTTAGAAACATAATATTATCTGGTTTGTTATGTAATGACTTTTTCTTCCTTTAAAGAGTGAGTCAGTGTTTTAGAGAGTGGAATTGCAGCCAAGTCTTGCATTGGTGAGTGTTTTCCCATAAAACCATATGAAGTTCATTATGCATTCAAACAGGAATAAAACACAATACAATTTAAAGTAGTGAATTATGAAATATACATTCAAAATAGCATCCAAGCGTTTTTAATTTTGGATTAATTATTAAATGGCATGCAAAATGAAACACAAAAAGCTCACCTCCACTATGATGTCCAGCACATCTGGCTTGGAGATTTTGCTCTCTCCGAATGACTTTATGTTGAAGGAGCAGATCTTGAGAGCCACAGCTCCTCCGAGGTTCAGCAGCAGGATCAGAGCGCTCAGCATCACTGCCAGCTGGAATAAGAGGTCAATCTGTGGACTTCCTTCAGTTATAATGTAACCAAACACTTCCTAACTTCATCTGATGGCCACATGTTGTTCTGCATTCTGACGCAATGAGGTATGAGTTGATTCCTGTTTTCAGATGTATTTAAAGATCCGGTAGATCCTGCATTATCATTCCACAATTCAGCTCTTATGCAACTTTGACTGTTTGTTTGTAGCACAAATATATTTGAATATATTCGTATATATAATATACAAATATATTTGTATATAGCACATCTGTACATACAATATACTGTTTACTTTCTCTTTGTCTATTGTGTATTGTTTTTACATATTTAATTTTACTAATTTTTTATTTTGTTATCTGTGTCTTGTCACTCGTCAACCTGTCTGTGTACTGCAGCTTCTGTCACCAAGACAAATTGCTTGTGTGTGTAAGCACACTTGGCAATAAAGCTCTTTCTGATTCTGAGAATCTTATTCATAGTATTTCTAAAGATCCCGCTCTGAGTAAAGATTTGGTCCGTCGCTCAGAACGGGGCAAAAGGGACTGCTATGAGTGGTGGAAAAGAAAAACAAGGGGGAAAATCAGTTGAAACTAATTTTTTTAACAGTTTTTCACCTTTTCACTTATTTTAAATAACAAATTACAGAAAAGTCAATATTTCAACCTATTTTACCTCATCACAAAACAACTCCTTATATCTTAATTTGTAAAATTTAACGAATAAAACATACAAAACATACTTCCACAAATACGGTTTATTCCAAAAGCTCAAATCTGACATGCATACATGACAATTTAATTGTTCATAAGGTAGATTGCCTGGGGGAAGAAACTGTTCTTGTGCCTGGCTGTCCTGGTATTCGGTGCTCTGTAGCTCCAACCAGATATCAAAAGTTCAAAAAGGAGATGGCTTGTATGTGAGGGATCCAGAGTGATTTTCTAAGCCCTTTTCCTCACTCTGGATGCATACAGTTCTTGAAGGGTGGGCAGGGGAGCACCAATAATCCTCTCGGCAGTCCGAACCGCTCAGACGACAAAGCGTCTTGTTCCTCTGTGTTCTCCTGCTTTGACACGCTACAGTAGATAGTAAAACAACGCAGCTGCTGAACTCACTAGAGTTATAATAACATGCAATGATGTTTAGAAACATAATATTATCTGGTTTGTTATGTAATGACTTTTTCTTCCTTTAAAGAGTGAGTCAGTGTTTTAGAGAGTGGAATTGCAGCCAAGTCTTGCATTGGTGAGTGTTTTCCCATAAAACCATATGAAGTTCATTATGCATTCAAACAGGAATAAAACACAATACAATTTAAAGTAGTGAATTATGAAATATACATTCAAAATAGCATCCAAGCGTTTTTAATTTTGGATTAATTATTAAATGGCATGCAAAATGAAACACAAAAAGCTCACCTCCACTATGATGTCCAGCACATCTGGTTTGGAGATTTTGCTCTCTCCGAATGACTTTATGTTGAAGGAGCAGATCTTGAGAGCCACAGCTCCTCCGAGGTTCAGCAGCAGGATCAGAGCGCTCAGCATCACTGCCAGCTGGAATAAGAGGTCAATCTGTGGACTTCCTTCAGTTATAATGTAACCAAACACTTCCTAACTTCATCTGATGGCCACATGTTGTTCTGCATTCTGACGCAATGAGGTATGAGTTGATTCCTGTTTTCAGATGTATTTAAAGATCCGGTAGATCCTGCATTATCATTCCACAATTCAGCTCTTATGCAACTTTGACTGTTTGTTTGTAGCACAAATATATTTGAATATATTCGTATATATAATATACAAATATATTTGTATATAGCACATCTGTACATACAATATACTGTTTACTTTCTCTTTGTCTATTGTGTATTGTTTTTACATATTTAATTTTACTAATTTTTTATTTTGTTATCTGTGTCTTGTCACTCGTCAACCTGTCTGTGTACTGCAGCTTCTGTCACCAAGACAAATTGCTTGTGTGTGTAAGCACACTTGGCAATAAAGCTCTTTCTGATTCTGAGAATCTTATTCATAGTATTTCTAAAGATCCCGCTCTGAGTAAAGATTTGGTCCGTCGCTCAGAACGGGGCAAAAGGGACTGCTATGAGTGGTGGAAAAGAAAAACAAGGGGGAAAATCAGTTGAAACTAATTTTTTTAACAGTTTTTCACCTTTTCACTTATTTTAAATAACAAATTACAGAAAAGTCAATATTTCAACCTATTTTACCTCATCACAAAACAACTCCTTATATTCCTTTTTGTAAAATTTAACGAATAAAACATACTTCCACAAATACGGTTTATTCCAAAAGCTCAAATCTGACATGCATACATGACAATTTAATTGTTCATAAGGTAGATTGCCTGGGGGAAGAAACTGTTCTTGTGCCTGGCTGTCCTGGTATTCGGTGCTCTGTAGCTCCAACCAGATATCAAAAGTTCAAAAAGGAGATGGCTTGTATGTGAGGGATCCAGAGTGATTTTCTAAGCCCTTTTCCTCACTCTGGATGCATACAGTTCTTGAAGGGTGGGCAGGGGAGCACCAATAATCCTCTCGGCAGTCCGAACCGCTCTCTGTAGTCTTCTGAGGTCAGATTTGGTAGCTGAGCTGAACCAGACAGTTATAGAAGTGCAGAGGACGGATTCAATGATAGCAGAGTAGAACTGTTTCAGCAGCTCCTGTGGCAGGTTGAACTTCCTCAGCTGGCGAAGGAAGTACAGCCTTTGTTGGGCCTTTTTAACAATTGAGTCGATGTGAGTGTCCCACTTCAGGTCCTGCGAGATGGTGGTTCCCAGGAACCTGAATGTCTCCACTGCAGTCACAGTGCTGTCCATGATGGTGAGTGGGGGGAGTGCAGGGGGGTTCCTCCTGAAGTCCACGATCATCTCCACTGTTTTGAGCGTGTTCAGCTCCAGATTGTTAAGACTGCACCAGACAGCCAGCTGCTCAACCTCCTGACTGTAAGCAGACTCGTCTCCGTCCTGGATGAGCGAGACCGATGACTGTAGTGTCATCTGCGAACTTCAGGAGCTTGACAGGGGGGTCTTTAGAGGTGAAGTCGTTGGTGTAGAGTAGGGCTGCACGATAAATCGCATGCGATTTATCAACAATTGAGTCGATGTGAGTGTCCCACTTCAGGTCCTGCGAGATGGTGGTTCCCAGGAACCTGAATGTCTCCACTGCAGTCACAGTGCTGTCCATGATGGTGAGTGGGGGGAGTGCAGGGGGGTTCCTCCTGAAGTCCACGATCATCTCCACTGTTTTGAGCGTGTTCAGCTCCAGATTGTTAAGACTGCACCAGACAGCCAGCTGCTCAACCTCCTGACTGTAAGCAGACTCGTCTCCGTCCTGGATGAGCGAGACCGATGACTGTAGTGTCATCTGTGAACTTCAGGAGCTTGACAGGGGGGTCTTTAGAGGTGAAGTCGTTGGTGTAGAGTAGGGCTGCATGATAAATCGCATGCGATTGTCATGCGCATCTTGTCTGTAAAGCCGGTTCTTTGTAGTAAATGCTACTTCATCTGAAAGCATGTGATGGAGATTTACTACTAATCACAGAACCGGCTTAACTGACGAGATGTGCATGACAATCGCATGCGATTTATCGTGCAGCCCTAGTGTAGAGGGAGAAGAGCAGTGGGTCCAGTAATGGTCCAGTGCTGTCCTTCAGATAAACCAACACCAGCCCCTCAAACGACTTCATGACCACAGATGTTAGGGCCACAGGTCTGTAGTCATTAAATCCTGCTATCTTGGGTTTCTTTGGGCCGGGGATGATGGTGGAGCATTTGAAGCAGGCAGGGACTACGCACAGTTCCAGTGATCTGTTGCAGATCTGTGAGAAGATAATAATAATAATAACAAAAAATAAATATATAAACAAACATAAAAATAACTATAATTACATATATTATATGCTTGCTACCAAATAGGTTTATTCAAAAAAGCTTAAATCCAGCATCATTTATATAATACAAAGGAATATAAATAGGGAATATATAAACAAATTGAAATAATTACATATATAATAATCTTAACTACCACAAATAGTTTAATATTAAGAATAGAAATATATATACATGAAAATTACACACACACACACACTTAAATTTAAAGAACTATATTAACAATATTATTAATAATACTTACATAATAATAATAATAAACTTTAAAATCTGACCTTTATATAATAAAAATGATGTATGTAAAAACAAATTTAAATAACTACCTAATAATAATAATATAAACTTCCACAAATATTTTATTCCAAAAGCTGAAATATGACATTTTATAATTTTTATAAGACATAAATACAAATTTAAAGAACAATAATAACAATACTACTATTAATAATAATACTTACAATACTTGCTGCAATATGAAAGGCCACCTCGATTTATATCACAATCTCGCCCAAACATAGCATCTTATATCCATATAAATGTTAAATCACAGATTTAAGAATACATTTGGAAAAAAACACCCGCACGCAACTTAAGCAGAGGAGTTTGAACCCAAATGCTATGTTATGTGTTTTATTGTACTTACCTCCACTTTATCCGAAAACGTCAAGCTGACTAAAAATATGTTCCTTGTTTAAAAAAATATCAAATTCGCCTTACCCTTCATACACTAGTCGTCCGCGCGCTTCCGCTCTATTTATGACTGCAATCATGTGGCTTCGCACGTGACATGTTTCGACCAATGGCTGTTGTGTTAGGAATTAGTTCGGAAGTGTTAGGACTTATTTAGAATGTGTTAGGAACAGTGTTGGGGAAAGTTACTTTTAAAAGTAATGCATTACAATATTGCGTTACTTCATAAAAAAGTAACTAATTACGTTACTTAGTTACTTTTTATGGAAAGTAATGCGTTACGTTACTTTTGCGTTACTTTTAAAATCTGGACAGGGCTTGCTTATTTGTTTTTAAAATAAAAAAAGTTATATTTTTGGCAAATATAAAAGCCTTTTCACACCAAAAGTGAAATGAATAAGCCTCAGGCTGAAGGAAAAGTAAAGTTACGTCTGTACAGTAGAATGCAGAAGAAATTTCAACACACTTCAGCAATAAACAAAGACACAAATGTTTGTCTAGAGTAATTTGTGCTTATTAGTACGCTTG